GATCTCCTGACCTCGTGATCCGCCCGTCTCGGCCTCCCAAAGTGCTGGGATTACAGGCTTGAGCCACCGCGCCCGGCCAAAAAAAATTTTTTTAAATATGGTACTCTTACTACAGTGCATGACACATGATAGATGCGTAACTATATTGAATGAAATCAAATTGGAAATACTGAATGTTTTAGAGTGATTAGCAGGAAGATCAGAAAAGTATGTGCAGAAGAAAATGTATAACCTTAAATGAATTCATTAGAAATCCAAACAAAAAGAAACTAGTGAAACAAATACAAAATGTAAAAATTACTATAAAAATGGAAAGCATTGATCAGTACAACCAAGTAACTGTCAAAAAGCAAAAATATTTCATGGATTCTGTTTGATTAGCAGAATGACATTATGAATCCAAGGATATGATTTGTCTAAATGACCTAGCTTGAAGGACCAGACTAATAGCCATACAGGTTACCTTAAAAATGGTACTAAAAATCTACTCTAATAAGGGCAGCTGAAACACAAATTGCAGTTCCCAGGCTCCTCTTCTCAATCAGCTGATGGCTGACAATGATGTGGCAGAGGAGATACCCTGACCAAGAAGGCAGAGATATGGGTCCAGGTCTTTACTTCCTCTAGCAAGGTACCTTGTGAGGGAGGCCCTGCTATAGAATGTCCTATTTTGCTATGTGATAAAAATTACTGACTAGATAAACTTTAGGTTTAACCTTTTCATGTTTAAGATGCTTCAGTTTCTTGAAATTAGTATTTCTGCTAAATATGTGTAAAAGCGACTTGTTTCTGCTTGTTATGCTTTAACTATGATAAAAGTTTTGCTTCTCTAACAGAAGCAAAATTGGTTATTAGACAAAATATGGACGTGACTTTCAACACTTACTTTAATATCTTTAGGGAATGTCCAGATACTCTGTATTAATTTCCTTTGCTTTTTCATGTTATTTCTTTGTATCTTTCTTTTTTTCTTTTGCAGTATGATCATAATGGAGGAAATAAAAGTTAAAATGCAAAGCCATTATTTTTGCTATTTGTAAATTTCAAACTCTTTTCAACACTGAAACATTTTTAATTATGTTTTTAAATTTTTTTGTGGTTTTTTTTTTGTTTTTTGTTTTTGAGATGAATTCTCACTCTGTCTCCTAGGCTGGAGTACAATGGTGCCATCTTGGCTCACTGCAACCTCCGCCTCCCGGGTTCAAGTGATTCTCCTGCCCCAGCCTCCTGAGTAGCTGGGATTACAGTTGCCCACCACCACACCCAGCTAGTTTTTGTATTTTTAGTAGAGACGGGGTTTCACCAGGTTGGCCATGCTGGTCTTGAACTCCTGACCTCAGGTGATCCACCCACCTCGGCCTCCCAAAGTGCTGGGATTACAGGCGTGAGCCAGCGCACTTGGCTTTTTAAAGTTATTTTTAGAATTCCTGTTTATCACTAAGATACTTATATTTTGGATACACTCCCCCAATTTTTCACAGTGATGTATCATGCTTATCTTATATTTTAATTAATACAAAATTAGTGCACTTTTTTTTTTTTTTTTTT